AGCCGTCTAATACGTCTGTATTACTTTTTGAAACCGATGATCGTTATTTCTCATTTTGTTTTACAATGAATTATAACAATATCTGTATAGGGGCATTCGGCCTTTTCAAGTGTAACTTATCTTGATTCAAGTTATTTATCTTAAACTTCAGAAAAGGAAAGTCGCGTCGCTAGGGACAAAGTGGACAGAAAGGTTGGTTGTCGATTCTTGTCCATTATTTCAGCGTCTTTGTGTGCTGCTAGGTAATTTCTTGTTACAGCAGTGCAGAGTATAAATCTTACATTTGTTATGTGTTTGGTTGATCGACAGAGAAACCTTTAAGGGAGAGATTAGGAGCAACCACGTGGTATTGAAGTTACCCGTTTTGTGATCCATGAGCCAGAAGTAGTGAGAGGAGGACTAGACAGGAACGAGTCTCACAAATTAGTAGTCACACAAAGTAGGCAAACTTACTTTCATCGGGCACACGAGTACAGTCAGTACACTGGTCATGAACCCTGTGAGAGGATTTACCCCGGGGATTTACACGCCTCTCTTGCTGTTATATTCTCCTGAATATTACGGAAACTATGTTAGAAACACTTAAATGTCTTTCTTCACAGTTCAAGTATTTCCTTTTGAAGTCCATATAACAAGATTTTTACTTACCATGCTGTCACAAAAGGAATAGCGCAGTCTTTCATGATCCTCAAAAAGCATGTCTCATGAGGGGACTGAGTTTATTGCTACAGTTTCAGTAAGAGTGTCATCTAGGCTGTGGTAACAGTTGACCGTGTAGGACATATTCTCTACGGGCAGACCATTCTAGCAACTTACTGACACACTTGTGGACCGGATATCATAAACAATCCCTAGAAATAGAAACTCACGTCAGATAGCAAGTGACAATAGTCTGTTAATTCTTTTTACGTTGTCAACAGATCTAATTGCTCTAAACATTCATTTTTCCGCACTACAGGATAGTTAAGTTTGCAATGATTTACCAAGAGATGGATGTAGTGGAAGCTGATAACCCTCAGCTGTATAAATCCATGCTCAAATTGCAGTTGAATGTCTGATAAATTGAGGATCTTAATTGACAGTTTGATATCGATTTTATTGTA